CTAAGGTTCTACTCGTTCATAGTCCATTCAACAGAACTTATATTTTATGTCTCGATAATATATCTCAGTACGTTAACAGTTACTGATATTTACTGTCAGAAATCATCACTGAATGCTCATTTAACTTCTCCAACTATTCCTAAAATAGTTATATTGTTATATACAACCTCCAAACACAATTAGGAACGCATTAGGGATTAATGACTCATCCAAAACTACATAGGTTGTAAATGACAGCCTGTGATTCAGACCCAGGTTTGTCAGACTTAACATCATTGTTTTTTTCCCTAAAACATTTTTATTTATTCTAGGTAAGGATGGTAAGAAGAACAAAATGTTCTGATGCGCAGAAGATGAAGGTATCTTGATGAAGGTACTCTCTCTTTGCGGCGTTTCTATCAGCGGGGGTGGTTTAGGTTCATGGCCAGGATTACTTTCGATTTTGTTCCAAACATCTTATATTCACTGAGGCATATCTTCCCTGCCCCCTAAAATTGATTATGTTATTTCATTTGCTCTCTTTTCTTTTTTCTTTTGTTCTTTTTCTTCTTTTTAAAGGCTATACCCCAAAGAGGAGATTTGCTACTCTTAATTGTAATCAATGTCAGGGCCTGGTTGTGGCTCATGCTATAGATCCTGAGCCCACTATGGGGAGGCCAAGTGGGAGATCGCGTTGAGATCAGGAATTTGAGACCAACCTGATCAAGAGGTGAGACCTGTCTCTACTAAAAATAAAAAACAAAAATAGCTGGGGATCACTTGAGCCCAGGAGTTGAAGTTACTGTGAGCTTAGGTTGACACCATGGCACTTAAGCCAGGCAACAGAGCGAGACTCGTCTCAAAACAATAAAAAAAAAGTAATCAATGTCAGCCTGAAGACAACATGGGGCGGGGGCTCTAACTGATGCAACACCTGATCTGTAGGCGCTGTCCCACGGCTGTAGGAAATATCATTGAGTGTGTGTAGCAACTCTGCTGATTCTCTGTGGCTTCCTTGTACCATCACCAGCAGCCCTCCCTCATCTTCTGTGTGAAGCAGCACTGGTACTTAGCTAGAAAGGCAGGGAAAGCTCTCAAGGATGTATAGTGTACCTTCATTTCATGCCCTGCCCACAGAATGCCCTCCTAGACTGGCATGGCCGGATTTTCTTCATGTGCTCCTTTTGTTCACAGTGGGCCAAATCTGAGCCTACATCCTCGCCCACAAGGATGCCAATCCAGCTCTGGGAGGAATAATGGGAACCCTACCAGAGTGTTTTCGAGCACGCCACCAGTGCCCCAGATTTCAATTCGTGGGTAGTTTCGGCCTTACTGACTGACACTCGCAAACACCACCACCATGGCTCAGGTGCTGAGGTCTGTTCCCCTTATCCACAGCCACAAATAAGGGAGGATGTTTTCGGGGTTAATTGGGCAGGCTGTAAGGTAAGGTTGATAGCCAGATCCTTCAGGTGCTTTCTGCCCATTTGTGTCTTTTCTGGCCTTTGTAGCCATCTTGGCAGATGTGGCCCATGACTTTTCCTTATACGCCCTGAGATGGGAGAGGCAGGCAGGAGTAGACGCTCCAGGTTTCTGAACCTGATTATGACTGCCTCTTGATTCTACTCAGCACTCTCTATGAGAATCCCTTTGTCTCATCTCCCCTTATAGACGTCTGTAGTTTTCAGCCAGCAGAGAGATTGCAGCCTTTCTTCCCTGACTTCAGTGAACAGCGCTGGTATGAGGAGGGGAGGAGCCCAGCTGCGCTGTGGCCCTTGTGTGCTACAGTCCAGAGGGGAGGCGTCCATCGTGGCAGCTGGTCAGAGACCCAGGATCAGCCTGATGCAGCTGCAGTCTGTGAAGACCAGTGGCAATGCCAGACTTTTTTCAATAGATCCTCTGGTCCAAAGCCTTCTCCCTAGGGACCAGAGAATCCTCAGGTGCCATCTCTGCTGGGTACCACCACCTGCCAGAGGGCCTAGCTCTTCACTAACACATCCTCCAGAACCCTACTTTCTATCTACCTCTTCGGAGATGCTGATGGTCGATTCAGAAAAGTGATCACTCCTCTTTTTTGGTGAGAACCATTCATCCTTCTTCAAGGGAAGCTTGCCTAATTGACTAGCCTGAAAAATGCAGTGGACTCTGTTAAGCAACTTTGGCCTATTTTATCAATAAAAATCTGTGATCTACTTGATCCTCCATGTGGCCACATTATAGAGGGTACCTTCAAGCTTCATTCAGCTTGACTTCCCAACAGGTATTACCGTATTGCTTCATTCTCAGAAACACTCTCTTCTCTTGACTCTTCCTGATCCACAGTTCTTTTGGTTTTCTCCTTCTTCTGCCTATTTCATCTCCTTGTTGGATTATGCAAAATTTATTTTAGTAAATTTCTAGATTCAAGACATCCATAAACATAAAGATGGTTACAAGACATTTGGTCCTGCCGGGCAAGGTGGCTCACCCACCTGTAATCCTAGCACTGTTGGGAGCCAAGGCGGCAGATTGCTCAAGGTTCAGGAGTTTTGAAACCAGCCTGAGCCAAGAGCGAGACCCCGTCTCTCTATAAATAGAAAGAAATCTAATTGGCGCAAGTCGACAGTACCTGATGGAGCAAAAAATTAGCCAGCATGGTGGCAGTGACGTGGGCCTGATGAGTCGCGCAGCCGCCCTACTCGAGGCGCAGGGGCTGACGGGCAGACAGGATTGGGTTGAGCCAGGCAGTTGTGAGGGTGCTGTCGAGCTGTAGGCTGACCGACCGACGCCGGCGACCTCAGTTCCTAGCGGTCTTGGCGCAACAAAGGTCGAGACGCTGTCTGTCGCACAAAAACAAAAAACAAAAGAAACCGATGTCGCCTCAACCTGGAGCACTACAGCCTCAAGGCTCAGACATAAGGTTCTGCTAACGCAGGGCCGGCGGGATTTGGTACCAGCACAGTGGCTCAGCCTGTGAATCCTAGCACGCTCTGGCGACGGCGAGGCAGCGAGGATCACTCAAGGTCAGGAGTTATTTGAAAACCAGCCTGAGCAAGAGGTGAGACCTCTGTCTCCTACTAAAAATAGAAAGAAATTAATTGACAACTAAAAAGATATATAGAAAAACCATTAGCGGGCATGGGTGGGTGCATGCCTGTTAGTCCC